AAACAGAGATAGGGCTTATTTATGTTCTGCTCAATAGAGATAGGGCTTATTTATGAAGCCAATCAGTTAATGCTAATCAGTTAATGAGTTACCTAATTTCTATTTACTTTTTTTGTACTTTCATAAAAACCATAAAAGTTTTTCTTACTTTTTTAACAGATTCAATTAACTTTAGTTTTTTGTACTTTCAAAAAAAATTCAATCAATGCACACCAAAACCATCAACAACTCAAGCACACCAAAGCAGTAAACCATCAACTAGCAAACTTAAGTTTTTAGTACTTACCATCAACTACTCTAGCAAGTCTACCCACCAATCAATACAGATTCAAACAAAAAACATATTCAATTACGAAAATATGAACAAGATGAACTGACCAGTTGTGCTGCAAAGATGAACAAGATGATCTTCACACCAGTATCCCAAATCCGCTTATCCAACTACACCTGCAAAGAAAACACAGTCTCAATACCAGAATTTAATCGAAAAACGCATCAACATCAATTGACTTCAGGAAAACAGATTCAGTCACAATCTAATTTGATCAATTYACTTCAGGAAAACGAATCAGCATGAAACAATGATCTCATCACAATCTAATCGAAACATGAAACAGATTCAATCACAATCTAATTTMATTTCAGGAAAATACAACCGATTAACTAAGAACCCTAATTCCAACATCAATTGACTGAAATTTCGGAAACAAACCCATAGATTKCAGATACAGTAAAGAGAGGCGACGAAACCCTAATTCTCCAATCGAAAWCCCTAATTTTCCAAATCGAAAACCCTAATTTCCAAATCGAAAACCCTAGAATCCGATTAATCAAAACACAAAATTGAAACAAAAGAGGATGACAAATCCCCTTCGCAGTCGTCTTCAACCGTATGGCCTATGGTCTGAGACTCGAGAGCCACCGCTTCGTCAACCTCCAAGGATTAACCACCGGAACTGACGGACACATCCGACTCAAGAGCCACCACTTTGTCAACCTTCGTCAACCTCGAAGGATTCATCATCTCAACTCTTCGGAAACTTCTTTGTCGAGAGAAGATTTGAGAGAGATGTGAATCGGCGTGAATCGCCAAAGGAGAAGAAGAAAGCAGAGAAAAAAATTGTTTTCGCGAAATGAAAACGTTTCGCTGGTTCTTGGCAAAAAAAAAAAATTCTGCCCAATCACACGCTGACACGCGTCCAAATGAAACGTTTCTTTTGGCTCTGTGGGCTGAGACGTTTCGAGCCCAAATCTCATAAAAATCCAATTGTTTACTCATTTTAATGAGATGAAACGGGCCGGGTTTTATGGCTGAGGATGCTCTAAAGATGTATAAATCTCATAATATGAATCGTATAAAGAAAATGAAAGAGCATGATTTTTGGTGCCCTTCTAAGTCATTTGGTGCTTCAGGTCTCATCATTCTTGGTTTTGCCTATTGATTGCAGAGTCTCTGATGTTGTTGTAAATGGATCATGGTGTCGCTTTCCAAGTAGAAACGATCAGTGTCATCGCCTACAATCAATCCCCTCTTCTCTTCCATCTCTCCTCCAACTTAATCGGCAGGACAAAGGAGAATATTTTCCATGCTACAACCAATCTGTCCAGATACCAAAAAAATAAAACTCTGATACGATTAAAACCTTAACATCTTTTAAAATCTGAAATCTTCTTCACGGGGGCTTCTTTGAGTCACTAATCACAACCTTCCTACACAATAATAAAATCGACATTTTCATGAAATTCAGACAAAACAGCAACAAAAAGTTAATATGCAAAAACGTTGTCAATAGAATAGCAGCAAAGAAAGTTGATTCACCTCACAAATTTTCTCTCAAGGATGATTAGAAGAAATGTGTTTCTTAAAGCATATCGAGAAAGCTTTTGTCCAATCTTCCATCCTTCAACATACTAAAGACCATGCTCATTGTCGAAGCATCTCCACAGAACCCGCAACATTTCATTTCTTCGATGAGTTCTTCTGATGCGGTTTTGTCACCATCTCTAGGGCATGCCTA